CGTCGGCACGGGAGCGAGGGGCGAGGCACGCGGGCACGCGGGCAGCGCTGCGAGCCCGAGGGATGGGCCCCAACTTCGCGGCCGCCCGCGCGGGCGAGCACGACTCGCGGCGCCTGGGCGTCCCGTCGAATGGCTGCGCCAGGAGGCTGCGACGAGGGCGGCCCGGGCAGCCCGGGCCAGGAGGAGGAGGAGGAGGAGGAGGGGGGGGGGAGGAGGGGGAGGAGGAGGAGGGAGGAGGAGGAGGAGGAGGGAGGAGGAGGAGGGAGGAGGAGGAGGAGGAGGAGGATTTTCCTCGGGGGCCCACGAGGCAGAACAGAGCATTACCAGCCAGCACCGCACGGCAGTCTGACGGGTGAGGCAACGCAGGAGAGCTCCAGCTCTCCCCACGCCACAACGCCTTAACCCGCAGGACTGCCGCGGGTTGAGGGCCGAGGTAGCACTCCATGCTCCTCCAAAACCCGAGCTGCATTCACCTCTCGTGCTCTGACTCGGGCCGCCAGCGCCTCCAAGGAAGGTAGGAGACGCACGCCCGAGTGCGCGGAGGTACTACCAGTAGTGGCTGTGGGCAGCAGCACGTACTTGGCAGAGGCGCGGCAAGTAGCGCCAGATCCTGCAGCTACCGTCTCCTCAGATCTGCAGTGAGGATGGAGGCCTTGACGAATTCGATGGAGGGCGCCCCTGCCACTCGGCCCAGGCTTCCCCTTGCACCGTTCGCCGAGACGGCAGCATCTCTGGCTGGTGAAAGCTCCACATCTGAAGCAGAAAACCAGCATCTCACACTCGGCGGTCTGGCGCAGGGACGAGCACAGAAGGTGGCCTCGTTCGCTCTCCGCGCCTTGTAGGCGACGCAGTGCCGTGGGGAGCCCGTTGCACCCTAGCATTGGCCGATCGTCGCCATATGACACCTTAAAGCACTTGCTGCAGCGGGCCACACTTTCCTGGGAGCTCTCGTCGCCAGGGTCGAGGATGACCCACTCGCGCCAGCTCAGGGCACGCGGGGGAGGCATCCTGGGGCCCGTCTTTCCCCGACAAAACTCGAGCTTCGGGAAACAGGAAAGCACTGCCGCAAACATCGTCACAAGCTTGCGCAGTGTGACAAATTCTTGATCCAGTCTCTCTAGCTCATCTGGGGCCAAACTGGGGTGAAAACTCAGCGCATGCTTCGCCAATCTGTCCGCATCGGCGTTGCCTAGAACAATATTTCGCTCGTGCGGTGGGAGTGCTGCTATCACTCCTACAGAGCGATGCGCAGCCACATGTGAAACCGAGATGATGCTAGCCTGGCCATCTTCTGCAAGGGCCCTTCTTCGGATGCCCGCAAAAGTCTGGTTGGGGTCCAACTGCGCAGCAGGGCTAGCGGAGGCCAACCTCACCGCCCCCAAACAGTCGCTGTGCACCTCACTTCGTCCCGTGGCCAGACAGCTGAGAGTAGCAAGCCCCAGGTTTTCTCCAGACTGCGCCGTCTGGGGAAGGCCTGGCCACACCGTGCCGAGAGTGCGGGCTTTTACTTTGTAGTCCGTGCCTGGGGCAAGGAAAACGGCAGCATAGGTGGCCCGATTGAGCTCTCGAAAAACCCCTGTGGTGGCCGACCCATCCACCACGATCTCCGTGTCGAGGGTCAGTCTACAAAACTCATCGATCGTTAATGGCTCTCCCTCAGGTCCCTGGAGCACGGGGTCGAGGTCCAAACAAGGAGGAGGGGGATTGGGCTGAGCCATTATCAACCGAGACCAAAAAAGCAGTCTGTCGGGCGTAGCCGCTCTCGCCTCCGCGATTTCATCTTCAGACAGGTGCTCTCGCCTAGCCGCTCGAGGCTCGGGGCTATCACAGAAAAACTGTCTGTGGACCAGGGAGTCAGGCTGACGACAAAGCGGACACAAACCGTCGTGAACGTACCCCGAGGATCTCAGCCTGTCTCCCGTCCAACAGGCCCAAAAACTGCACCCAGCCATTATTTTTCCCGCGGGGATGTGCGCTTAGACCGCATCACTCTTTGGAGCGGGTCCGAAGCTACTCTGTCTGCACTGAACTCTGGCAACGCCTGCGCCATGCGGCGCTCATGTGATATCTGAACCCCCTCCTGCAGCAGCTTATTGACCAATGCAGGCGCCGTGTAGAGGAGATCGATTACGTACCCTCGGTCGTCACGCCACACTGTGAAGCTTGTGGCTGTCCACCCTATTCTGTGTAGGCTCAGCTACATACGGTGTATGGGTCCCCGAGATAGCTTCCAGCCCGAAGGTTCCAGGACAAGGGGTTGAGCTTCCACCGTGTCCCGCCATATCTGTATGTGTTCTCGAAAAGATAAAGGCGATGAACGCGGCTGGGTGATGGACCTCCACACGCTCGAGGCCCATTGGGCCGCTGGTGCAACCGCCTGCTTCCACGCTGGGTCCCCATGCAATACCAATTTAGCAGTGAGGGAGGCCCCTTTGTGTGCTGGGCTGCGGCCCGCCATTAAAGTACTCTGAAGCGCCCGTAGTTCGCCATCCGCAAAACCGAGAATCATGGCTCCGTAGCCAGCTGCAGGACGAACTCCAGCCACATAAATCTTAGACATTATGGATTTGTCCCGTGGCAGTCGTTTGCGGTAGAACGATAAAACAACGGCGCCTCTTACGCATAGCTCGTAATCGTTGGTGACGCTTGTGTAGTCCTCCTCTGCATTCTCTCCTCTGGCCTGGCGCTAAATCTGTCCCAAGGGATACTACTGCATTCGCGGCCACCGACGGACATGCCACTCGCAGCCTCCTGGAGAGCCTTGTTGCCAGACCCTGCGACGATGCGAAGGTCACGGCCTTGTCCTCCGCTAGGTGGACGTTCAGCCGTTCCGAAAAAATCGCTTTCAAGTCGTGGCCTGCCTTGGTTAGGTTCGCCACTATCTCGTCCTCATTTCCATACGCGACTACCGTGTCATCATCTATGTAGGAGCCTAACGATACCTGCGGGTTTCGGGGGGAGAACTGGTCGAAATCGTACATAGCATATGCTGTAATGAAGACGTCGTTAAAGATGTCCCCCGCGGGAAGGCCTGAGCCTGCAAAGAGCACCAGAGGGGAGCAGTTGGGGCCCAATCAGAGTATGCGGGGCCCTCGCCATAGATTGTAGAGGGTCTTGATGAGAACCATGGGAATGCCCCAGTAGACGGCTCGATCTCGGAGCCAAGCTAGGACAAACGACTCATAGTATTTCATCCCATCCCAAATGAAACCTGCGGTGGCCTTCCCAGTCGAAGAAGCCTGTTCTGCGAGAACGCTTTGTTTCCAGATGGCGACCTCCGAACTAGTCCCATTTCCGGAAGACCAGTAAGGCCGTTGGGCCCGCTCCAAGAACTCATCCGCTTGGCCCCGTCGGAGCCTCTCCCACAGGCGCACGGGCGACCCAAGGAGCAGGATGGGCCGCAAACCTCCCTTCGGCTTCTCCAAGAGGGGCATCAACATCCACAGCAATTGGGACGGAAAAATTCCTATCCGCTCCACCGCCTCAAATAGTAGCGCCAGGACCTCCAGCCCCATGTCGCTGAGGCTGGCAAAGTGGCGCGGGTGGAAGCCGTCCAGCGACTGGGAGGTGTGCCTGCTGAACGACCTCGCCACAACACGGAGCTCCGTCGGCGTAGCTCGTGGGAAACACTCACGATTTGGGACCCAAGCTGTTGGCGGCTCTAGGCTAGCATTCCAGTATTCGCCTAACTTTACCGTCTCGTCCATGAGGAGGCTATTCGGATCCGAAGTGAATATACCAGGGGAACTTTGCACAACCTGCCCCGCCTCCCGGCACGGGCTGCGGCCGGGCAGGCCCGCGGCTTCGGCACGCCCCATAGGAGCGGCAGGGCACGGTTTCGGCCGTGCCGACTCCGTGTGGCCGCTTCTGTCGCCAGTTCTGGCGCCGGTTTTGGGGTTCCGGGGCTTTATTGGTTCGCACTGCCCGGAGCCGTGCTTGTGCACCAGCCTCACGTTCCCGAACTACTTTTGATGAAAACGGAAGAAAGACGGCCCTGCCGATGCCGGGGGCCACTCAGAACCCGCGCACGTGGCATGCGCGCACAGGGGACGGCGGGAAACAGAGGCCCAAGGGGACGAGTTGAGAGCGAGGAGAAGTACAGTCATCGAGCTAGCATCAGAAACGCTGAACAAGGAACGAAGGGCTTTTCTGACTAAAGCGAGCGCCAGCCACGAATATCTTGCCCGACCTAGATCTAAGCAACAGAGCCCCTCCTGGACCCTAATTCCAGCGTCTTGACTGCAGGAGGAAGATGGCGACAAGGGGCAGAAGCAGGGCAAGGAGGGCGACGACGACGACGACGGCGACGACGACGACGACGACGACGACGACTTGATGAAGGAGGGGGGAAATGAGGACGAGGGTAAGGGCGACGATGGGGATGGAGATTACTGAGATGACGATTTTGTCTGGCCTGCACCGAGCACGGAGACGGCTCGGCCAGGCCGCATTAACACAGGACCGCGCAGCCAAGCCGCGCAGTCACCTATACACTAGACCCGCATCCTCGAGACCACCTCCACCTCCTCCTCCAGGCCACATCCTTCTCCCGAACCGCTCCTACAACAGACCCCCCCCTTCCTCCTTGTCTTCTGCCTCCTCATCATCATCCTCATCGTCATCGAATCACCATTATCCTGACCATCCTGATCATCATAATCCTCATTATCATCCTCGTCGTCGTCATCATCATCATCCCCATCATCGTCATCATCATCCCCATCATCAGCAGCATCATCAGCATCATCATCAGCATCATCATCAGCTTCAGCATCATCATCATCACCATCATCATCACCATCATCATCATCATCATCATCATCATCACCATCATCATCATCATCATCATCATCATCATCATCACCACCACCACCACCACCACCACCATCATCATCATCATCATCATCATCATCATCATCATCATCAGCATCATCATCATCATCATCATCATCAGCAGCATCATCATCATCATCGTCACCATCGGCATCACCATCCTCATCACCATCTTCCTTCCTCGGATGAGTCACATCAGCAGAGCGCCTCGCCGTGTCGGCCAGCCTCGCGATGCCCTTTACACTGTACGGCAGCGCAAGTAGAGGGTACCAGGCCCACCTTCTGCATCAGCTCGGGAGGGAGGGAGGAGGGTGGAGGATATCCCAGGCAGGGGGGGGGAGCAAGGCAGGCGGGCAGGAGGCAGAAGCAGAGGAAAAATCTGCATAAGCAGAAATGCGACTGAGGGACAACGTTACCCATCGGTCGGAAGAAGTAGGTAGAAACACGAAGTAGGAAGGCGTTGAAAGTAGATTGGGTTCCGTCCGCCCCCTGAGGAGGACGGAAAAGGTAAAGCCACTCGATCATTGAAGTAGGAAGGCGCGGCGCTTAAAGTAGATTGGAATCTGGGAATCCAAGAAAACCTAATTTCAACGACAAATGGTTAGGGGGGGGGACTGGCTCGGGGGGGGGGATTATCGACCTGGAATAGGCGACACATCGAAGAGAGAGCGGCGAGAGGCCCCCCACAGCGAAACCGCACGCGTTGCTGGGGGGGCAGGGGGGGCCGTCAGACCCCATGTCGGCAGCGGCGAGTTGGCGATTGGGGGTCTATGCGCCCCCCCTAGGCGGCGCGCACAGCTTCTATGCCCCCCACCCTTGGCGGCGGCGCGCACAAGGGGGTAGGGGGAGGGGGGAAGGCTTCTTAGAGGGAGGCTGCTTTTTTAGGAAGGCGCGGGCCTTACATCTAAACAGGAGGCCCGCGCCTTCTAAGAAGCACCCCCCCCCTGCGCGCCGCCGACCCCCCCCCCTCCCCGAGCCTGCAGTAGGGGCTCGACCACAGGAAACCTTCCAAAGGGAAACCCCAACCCTGAGACCCCAGGACTTCCACTGATTTTTGGTGTGGGATCGCCACGCTTTCCACAGCAAAGACCGTCGAAACCCAGGAAACCCAGGGCACCCTGGAGGCAAGCAGGGTGCTTCTTGGCATGGGTTTCGACTGTACCGCTCCCCTGACGCTGCCCCTGCTCCGAGGTCCGCGCGGACGTCGTGGACCGACGCCAAGGAAGGGGGTCCAGCGCCGATCCGAGAAGTCCGCGCGGACCTCAGGAAGTGCTTGTGGTGCCTGGCCGAGCGTGATGGGCTCAGTCGGAACCTGCTCTGGCACAACAGGGCGGCGCCCAAGGTGACTACCTACCAAACCACCCCAACCCAGCCCGAAGACCCGAATTTGACCCGAATTTCGGGTTGGGGGGGGTACGGGTTCCATGTGTTTTTTCGACGCTCCCCGACCCCCCCCCCACTGGAAATCGAGGATAAGTTGAGGCCTTCGGGTTGGGTTGGGGTGGTGGTTTGGTGGGTGGTGAAAGGGGAGCACCAAAGATGTGCAAGAAGTGCCAGCTGGCTCCTGTCGAGAGAGCCGGCCGGGCTTCGCGGGCTCGCGTGGCCCCTGCCGGGGAGCACGGGCCACACACTACTCGAGAGGTGTGACTGCAGGACCTCGGAGAGTGCATGGCCAGAGCTGGGTCGGGCCTGTCCTCCTACAGGCGGGCTTTGGATGAGAAGCTCGAAAGTTATCAAACACACTGAGCACAAAAAAAGAAAGAACAAACAGCACAAAAGTGATCGAAAGTTATCAAAGTGATCGAAAGTTATCAAAGTGATCGAACACACTGAACACAAAAAAACAGCACGAAACATCGTCCCCTGGCTATTTACCTAACAGCGAAGACTGATAGTTACCTAACAGCGAAGACTGATAGGTTTCTAGTAGTCTCAAAAGAGAGCAGCAGATGACTGCACAGGGGGGTCTGGGCGGGTGCCGGACAGGGTGCCGCAGAAGTCGTTTTAAGCCAACAGTCACACACTTCGTGCTCTTCGACCTCCCAGAACTCCATTCCCGGGCCACATTCTGAATGCCCGGAGCCAACTGTAGGCCACTTCGTGCTCTTCGATTCCCAGAACTCCATTCCCGGGCCACATTTTGAATGCCCGGAGCCAACTGTAGGCCACTTCGTGGTCTTCGAGTCCCCAGAACTCCATTCCCGGGCCACATTTTGAATGCCCGGAGCCAACTGTAGGCCACTTCGTGCTCTTCGAGTTCCCAGAACTCCATTCCCGGGCCACATTTTGAATGCCCGGAGCCAACTGTAGGCCACTTCGTGCTCTTCGAGTTCCCAGAACTCCATTCCTGGGCATGATTTTGAATGCCCGTAGCCAACTGTAGGCAACTTCGTGCTCTTCGACTTCCCAGAACTCCCATTCCTGGGCATGATTTTGAATGCCCGGAGCCAACTGTAGGCAACTTCGTGTTCTTCTAGTTCCCAAAACTCCATTCCTGGGCCACATTTTGAATGCTGAGGCAGGCTGATGCTGCGGCCGAGGCAGGCTGAGGCTGAGGCAGGCTGAGGCTGAGGCCGAGGCTGAAGGCAGACTGAGGCTGAGGCTGAAGCAGGCTGAGGCTGAGGCTGAGGCAGGCTGAGGCTGAGGCAGGCTGAGGCTGAGGCAGGCTGAGGCTGAGGCTGTGACTGCGACTGCCGTTGCCGCTGCGACTGTCATCGCGAATGCGACTACGAGTGCGAGAACAGCAGAATTATACAACTGGATTTTTACCTAACAGCGAAGACTGATAGGTTTCTAGTTGACTCAAAAGAGCTCACAAATCACTCCACAGGGGGGTCTGGGCGGGTGCCGGACAGGGTGCCGCAGAACTCATTTTAAGCCAACAGTCACACACTTCGTGCTCTTCGACTTCCCAGAACTCCATTCCCGGGCCACATTCTGAATGCCCGGAGCCAACTGTAGGCCACTTCGTGCTCTTCGACTTCCCAGAACTCCATTCCCGGGCCACATTTTGAATGCCCGGAGCCAACTGTAGGCCACTTCGTGGTCTTCGAATCCCCAGAACTCCATTCCCGGGCCACATTTTGAATGCCCGGAGCCAACTGTAGGCCACTTCGTGGTCTTCGAGTCCCCAGAACTCCATTCCCGGGCCACATTTTGAATGGCTGGAGCCAACTGTAAGCCACTTCGTGCTCTTCGAGTTCCCAGAACTCCACTCCTGGGCCGCATTTTGAATGCCCGGAGCCAACTCTAGGCCACTTCGTGCTCTTCGAGTTCCCAGAACTCCATTCCCGGGCCACATTTTGAATGCCCGTAGCCAACTGTAGGCAACTTCGTGCTCTTCGACTTCCCAGAACTCCCTTTCCTGGGCCACATTTTGAATGCTGAGGCAGGCTGATGCTGCGGTCGAGGCAGGCTGGGGCTGAGGAAGGCTGAGGCTGAGGCCGAGGCTGAAGGCAGACTGAGGCTGAGGCTGAAGCAGACTGAGGCCGAGGCTGAGGCAGGCTGAGGCTGAGGCTGAGGCAGGCTGATGCTGAGGCAGGCTGAGGCTGAGGCTGAGGCTGAGGCAGTCTGAGGCTGAGGCAGGCTGAGGCTGAGGCCGAGGCTGAAGACAGACTGAGGCTGAGGCTGAAGCAGGCTGAGGCTGAGGCTGAGGCAGGCTGAGGCTGACTGAGGCAGGCTGAGGCTGAGCGCCTGAGGCCTGAGGTGAGGATGGGACATGCGACTGGCCGTTGCCGCTGCGGACTATTCATCGCGAATGCGACTACGACTGCCGAGAACGGCACCCCGTGGAGTAGATTTTAGCTAACAGCGAAGACTGATAGGTTTCTAATTGACTCAAGGACTCACAGGATCACTCCACCGGGGGGTTGAGGCGGGTGCCGGACAGGGTTGCCGAGAGAAACTCATGTTTAAGCCAACAGTCACACACTTCGTGCTCTTCGAGTTCCCAGAATTCCATTCCCGGGCCACATTTTGGATGCCCGGAGCCAACTGTAGGCCACTTCCTGGTCTTCGAGTTCCCAGAACTCCATTCCGGGCCACATTTTGAATGCCCGGAGCCAACTGTAGGCCACTTCGTGCTCTTCGAGTCCCCAGAACTCCATTCCCGGGCCACATTTTGAATGCCCGGAGCCAGCTGTAGGCCACTTCGTGCTCTTCGACTTCCCAGAACTCCATTCCCGGGCCACATTTTGAATGCCCGGAGCCAACTGTAGGCCACTTCGTGGTCTTCGAGTCCCAGAACTCCATTCCCGGGCCACATTTTGAATGCCCGGAGCCAACTGTAGGCCACTTCGTGCTCTTCGACTTCCCAGAACTCCCATTCCTGGGCCACACTTTCAGCAGGGGCAAGAGCACGACGAGGAGGAGGACGAGCAAGACCAGGAGGACGAGGACGAGCAGGAGCAGGACGAGGAGCAGGAGGAGCAGGAGAAGAAGGACGAGCAGGAGGAGGAGGAGGACGAGCAGGAGGAGGAGACGACCAGGAGGAGGAGGAACGACCAGGAAGAGAAGGAGGAGGAGGAGGAGGAGAGGAGGGTTGAGGATACAAGGAGGAGGAGGAGGAGGATGAAGAGTGAGGAGGAGGAGGAGGAGGAGGAGGATGAGAGGAGGAGGAGGAGGGAGGAGGAGGAGAGGAGGAGAGGAGGAGGAGGAGGAGGAGGAGGGGGGGGGGAGAAGCACCAGGAGAATTGCGCGAGTGGGGCATGACCACCAGGAGGGAAGGAGGAGGAGGAGGAGGAGGAGGAGGAGCCAGGAGGAGGAGGAGGAGGAGGAGGAACACCCAGGAGGAGGAGGACGAGCCAAGACGAGGAGGAGCGAACGAGGGCGACCAGGAAGAAGGAGAGGAGGAGGAGGGGAGGGGAGACTACCAGGAGGAGGAGGAGGAGGAGGAGGAGGAGGAGGAGGAGGAAGAGGAGGAGGAGGACGAGGAGGAGGAGGAGGAGGAGGACGAGGAGGAGGAGGGGGGGGAGAGCACCAGGAGAAGGAGAACGAGGACCACCAGGAGGAGGAGGAGGAGGAGGAGGAGGAGGAGGAGGAGGAGGAGGAGAGAGCACCAGGAGGAGGAGGACGAGCAAGACGAGGAGGACGAGAACGAGGACGAGCAGGAGGAGGAGGAGGAGGAGGAGGAGGAGGAAGAGGAGGAGCAGGAGAAAAATGAGGAGGAGGAGGAGGAGGAGGAGGAGGAGGAGCAGGAGAAAGAGGACGAGCAGGAGGAGCACGAGGACGAGCAGGAGGAGGAGGAGGACGAGCAGGAGGGGAGGGCGGCCGGCTGCCCCGGCCGGCTCCTACACATGGCTGTTAGGTTGCTTTGCCGGGATAATTCATCTGAATCTTAAGGGGAATGCTTTCAGATATGCTTCTACACATCGCTGTTAGGTTGCTTTGCCGGGATAATCATCTGAATCTTAAGGGGAATGCTTTCAGATATGCTTCTACACATCGCTGTTAGGTTGCTTTGCCGGGATAATAGGTTTCTAGTAGTCTCAAAAGAGAGCAGCAGATGACTCCACAGGGGGGTCTGGGCGGGTGCCGGACAGGGTGCCGCAGAAGTCGTTTTAAGCCAACAGTCACACACTTCGTGCTCTTCGACTTCCAGAACTCAATTCCTCAACCCCTTGCCCAATGCCCGGAAAGAAAACGTCCTCGTTCGTGCTCTTCGCACTTCCCAGAACTCAATTCCCGGGCCAAATTTTGAATGCCCGGAGCCAACTTAGGCCAATTCTGGTCTTCGAGTCCCAGAACTCATTCCCGGGCCCACATTTTGAATGCCCGGAGCCAACTGTAGGCCACTTCGTGCTCTTCGAGTTCCCAGAACTCCATTCCCGGGCCACATTTTGAATGCCCGGAGCCAACTGTAGGCCACTTCGTGCTCTTCGAGATCCCAGAACTCCATTCCCGGGCCACATTTTGAATGCCCGTAGCCAACTGTAGGCAACTTCGTGCTCTTCGACTTCCCAGAACTCCCATTCCTGGGCATGATTTTGAATGCCCGGAGCCAACTGTAGGCCACTTCGTGTTCTTCTAGTTCCCAGAACTCCATTCCTGGGCCACATTTGGAATGCTGAGGCAGGCTGATGCTGCGGCCGAGGCAGGCTGAGGCTGAGGCAGGCTGAGGCTGAGGCCGAGGCTGAAGGCAGACTGAGGCTGAGGCTGAAGCAGACTGAGGCGGAGGCTGAGGCAGGCTGAGGCTGAGGCTGAAGCAGGCTGATGCTGAGGCAGGCTGAGGCTGAGGCTGAGGCTGAGGCAGGCTGAGGCTGAGGCTGAGGCTGAGGCTGAGGCCGAGGCTGAAGGCAGACTGAGGCTGAGGCTGAAGCAGGCTGAGGCTGAGGCTGAGGCAGGCTGAGGCTGAGGCAGGCTGAGGCTGAGGCTGAGGCAGGCTGAGGCTGAGGCTGTGACTGTGACTGCCGTTGCCGCTGCGACTGTCATCGCGAATGCGACTACGACTGCGAGAACAGCAGAATTATACAACTGGATTTTCATCTGAATCTTAAGGGGAATGCTTTCAGATATGCTTCTACACATCGCTGTTAGGTTGCTTTGCCGGGATAATTTTCCTCTGCTCCTGAACCTTCCTCCTGTAGAGGGCACCTGCCCGACTTGCGCTTGGGAGGGGGCACCTCTGCCCTGCCCCGTCGCGGCGTCGGCCCCAGCGACCCGCCACGTGACGAGCCGACAACACACACCCACACCCCTAGGGGGGTCGGAGAGGGCTATGGGTGCGTGTTGTCGGATGGGGGTCCCCGCTCGAACGGGAGCTTCCCCAGGGTCAGACAACCCGCACCCATACCCACAGCCAGTCCTCCTCGCAGGGACCCCCCGATTGGTATGGGTGTGTGTGTGTGTGTGCGGTTCGTTCGTCACTGCATGCCTTGCGGTCGGACAGCGTGCCGCTCCGCTTCGCACGGCGGGAGGCCCCGAAACGCTCGCAGCGCTGACGCCTGGGGCCTGGGACGCGGCGTGCGCGCCGCGCCGAGGCGTGGTGGGCCATGAACCGGCGGCGCTAGGGGGCAAACAAACCTACCTCGCTTTTGACCACCCTCGCTTCCAAGAGATACCAAGCGATGCCAAACTGCGGCCTGTACTAGTCAGGCCGCTTGACGAGGAGGCGCGTGGTATGACTTGGTTTTGCCTGGGAGCGAAAGCGGGGTAGGTAATTCACGCTCTGAGGCGCGGCACGCTGAGGCAACGCTCCCGACCCCATGCCGCTCTTCCCCCGAAGGATGCCGGAAGCAGAGGAAGGGGCGAAACAGAAGGCGCGCACGGCGCCGTGCATACCGAATTCGGGCGGCCACGTCGTGGGGACCTGCTCCACCGAGACGCAGCAGGAGAAGGAAGGAGCAGGAGGAGGACGACGACGAGTTCGTCACCAAACTCCAGCGCCATCAGAGCCGAGGAGGACGGAGGAGAGGGAGGAGAGGACACCTCGCGACTACACCTCGACAGAGCACCGCACTGGGCTGATCAGGTCGGCATCGCGGGCCGGGCTCCCGTTTCCGCCGTCGGGCCACGTCGGCGTGAGCGTCCCGGAGGGCCACGCGACCCGCCGATCCGCGGCGTCGGCGTCACCGACCGCGGCGTCGCAGGCGACCTGGCTGGGCCGGCGCCCACGGACACGAGCCCGAGGACTGCGAGGGACGTCCACGTCCTTTCAGGGGCAACGGCAATTCGGGGTGGGACTGGCTCCGGGAGGGAACATCGACCTGGAATCGGCGACGCATCAATGATAGATCGGCCCGAGGTTGCAAAACGGCATGGTCCTGGGCAGGGTGGGCTATGGGGCCACTATCGGCGATCAATGGGCCGTCGAGGGTCGATGCCTCTCCCCTGGAGTCCGTCCCCTGGTGGCATTCGGGTCATAACTCGGGCCTCCCGCGGCCGTTGGGGACGATTCGGGCACCTCTGGAACGCTCTCGACGAGGAGCAGCCCCTTGAAGGCGCCCCAAGGCTGGAAATCCCTCGAGAAACGAAAAAGTATGAAAAAACCTCGAACCTCGACGGAAGGGGAGGGCGATGGCAGCGAGTGAGGGGCGACGCGTTCTCCCTAGCTGCTCCCCCTCATCAAAACAGCCCCCGAGGGGGGGGGGGAGCCTCGGGACTGCGAGGGACGGCCACGTCCTCGGCCTCGTCGCAGGCCCGGCGGCGCTCCCGGTCCTCAGCTGGACAGCCCGCCTAGAGGGTGGGAGGGCGGGGCTGATGTTGCGCTGCATCCGCGGGGGACCTTGTCTGTCCCGTGGCGCCGCGATCGGCGTCGAAAACGTGTCAAATCCGTGTCGAGCGCGTCGAGGCCGTATCGAATGCGTGTCGAATGAGGGCCGAATCCGCGTCGAATCCGCGTCGAATCCGCGTCGAACCCTCGTCAGAGTACGAGAAAGGCCTGCAGCTTACAGGACGGGAGAGGTGCCCCGAATGTGCAAAGTAGCTGATGTACCCTGGCCCAAAGGGGACGCACAAGGACACACTCATACGATGTGTCCTCCCTGGCGGCGTGCGCTCGACCCGAACACATAGCTATAAACCACACTGCCGCACATCGCTTCCCGTGCGGGATGGGCAGAAGGGCGCGCCCGCCACGGAGCTCGTACTGTGAGATGTCTTGGCGCGCTCGTCGCCCCGGTGGGGCGGGGGCGGCGCACACATAGTATCAGCGTGTTGCGGTGATGCGGCCCGAAGTGATTAGCAATTTAAGGACCCCTAAACCTTTGGGAGGGGCCCTGAGTTAGGAGGGCCGAAAACATTAGGGACAGGCGGTCTTTCCTGCGGACGTATCGAACCAAACCGCCCAGATAGGTTATCCCTCATGCAAAGACGGGGACCTCACTGAGGCTGCGTCTTCATCATATTATGAATTTGTCCTCTTAATGGAACAATTGATGAACCTGTTTTTTTGCGCTACGCGCGGATTTCTTGAATATGTGCTGGAACCCCACCCCTGGCAAGCGGAGCGCCCCAGAGGCGGCGCCGGAGGCGCCGCCAGGGGGCCCCAGCGCGGATCCAAGAAATCCCCGCTGAGAGCAGAAAGTTTCTGTTTAGACAATTGTTCCGTCTTCGACAGCAGGGCATGCTTGACGCGGGCCACCTCTGGGCCCCCTTTGGGATGCGCATCCTTGCCAGCGATTATCACGATTCCCGTCAGAGGTTTCGCCGTACATCACGGTGGTTTCGCAGACCCTCTAGACGTCGTGTTTTTCGCCCTGTTAGGGTTAGGGGCCAGGGGCTCTTTGATCATTCATTCGATCATTAGGGATAGGGGCTCTTTTACACTCGATGGCAGAATGAATACAGTGGGGGCCCGACCACAAGAAGCCTTCCACAAGAAACCCAACCCTGAGACCCCAGGACGTCCATCGATTGCTGGTCTAGCAACGCCACGCTTTCCATGGCAAAGCCCTCGAAACCCAAAGAAACCCAGCTCACCCTGGAGGCGAGCCCCCCGATCGAAAGGACTATCAAGCCAGCTCGGATGCTGATGTGTTTTGTGTGCCAAGCGCAGGTAGCTTTCGCCCTCCAGGGGGGGGTGCTTCTTGGCATGGGCCCCCACTGTGCAGGCCATGGCTTCGCCGATGCCGAGCCTCGCAGGGCGGCCACGGCCCGCCGCCTCGGGCTCCGGCGCCCGCGCTGCCCCCCTCGGAGGCGCTGCCCGCGGAGCCGCGCCGGCGGCGCGGGAGCAGCGCCGCGGGGTCGGCGAGCACGGCCATGACGAGCCTGAGGTCGCAGAACCGCTCGGCACGGTCGGAGCCCCGCTCGGCACGATCGGAGGTGTTTCCCTGGTTTCGGCCCTCGGAGGTCTCCCCAGGAGCTTCAGAAAACGACTCGGGACGCAGAACCGGTCCCGGGGAAGGGGTCCAGAGCTCTGGGGGTCGACGTTGGGACCAAATCACAGCGTCGGGGGTCTGGGGAAACGGGTACGGAAAGAGTGGGGACGATGCCCCGCTCGGCACGATCGAAATGGCTACAGTCAACGCGTATCAGAAGGATGCGCGATAAGGATGCAAGGGCCTTGGACGCCCATTCCGAAGCTTCTCGAGCGGGGCGCGGCCAAAGAAAGTGGCCAAGGATGGGCCGAGGAGGCAAGGATGCAAGGGGGTGCCCTTGGGAAGGTTGCCCATCCTTACTATGCGGGTTGACTGTACGGAACGAGTGGGTACTATGTCCAACAGGAGTTCCTGTTCCTGCGCCGCCGAGGACGTGGACCATTCGGGACAGAAGGCCGCCAGCCCAACAGCGGCCGCTGTCGGTTTGGGATAACAGATGTTGTTGGGCATCGGGCCCACTTTTCCCGTACCCATTTCGGGTGTCCAGACCCGCATCATCAGGGCTGGGGGCGGTCATGGGTAGCTACAGACTCGTGCCCCGTGGGCCCAAGCCAGAGCTCCCCTGGACGGGAGTTATTCTGGATAACTGGGGCGTCCAGCCATTCCCGAATCATAGGTAAAACAGGGCTAGGATCGGGATAAATCGCTCCAGAGCGTTCCGGAGCGCTCTCAGAGCGTTCCAGAACGCTCTGGAGCGGCCGCGGCGCCCAATACATCCTCCAAACCCGCCGATTCTCAGAGATTTCGAGTTATCCCGATCCGATTTTGTCCCGATCTTCGCGTCGTTTTAATAGGGGCTGGGGGCGGTCAGGGGTAGCTGCCGGTGCGCGCGCCGGGGGCCCAAGCTGGAGTTACCCCGGACCGAAATTGATCCTGGACAACTCGAAGAAATCATAGCGCTACCGCTAGGCCTCCCCTCGTCGGCACGGCCCGGTCCGCCACGCAAGCCTGGTCAGAAGGCGCACCTGGAAGGGTCCATGGGGGGGAGCAGCGGTAATTAGCGGTATCCTTTCTGCTCCCCCGCCTGCCTGTCCAGCTGCTCCCTCACGTGGCACACGTCCCTGGCGACCTCGTCGTCCTCACGCTCGGCGGGCTCCTTCGAGCGGCGCCTTCTCTTGCGGAAGATGCGGAAGATGTAGAGAGCGAACGCGAGGGCGACCCCGATGGCGTGGATCACGAGGGGGCCGAGCATCGCGTCCCAGTCAAGGCCCTCCACCTCCGTGCTGACCTTCCCGTCAGAGTCAGCGCAGGCGGTCTGTGACTGCTGGGCCCTCAGGAATGAGTCCAGCATCCCCTGGATCTCGCCGCTGGTCGACAGCGTGAGCATGTGCACGGCCAGGGCGTCGCGCAGGACCGGCGTGCACTTGTCGGCGTAGTCGGTCCTCGTCATCCAGCCGCCGCCGTAGTGCTGCAGTGTCGCCTCACCCGATCGGCTCAAGGTGCAGTCGGGGTTGCTGTCCTTGCTCACTTTGGCAATCTCGTACCCAATGACACTGTCCACAACGATGTCGCACTCTCCGTCGACAAGCCCAGACCAGGGGGAAGCGGTAGTCCGCACAACCTTGTGGCTCCTATCAAGATGCCCGTATGACCCAGTCAGCCACTCGTCGAGCTCCGTCCCCCCCATTACGCAAACATGTCTGCCGTCGCTGACACACGTGTCAAAACTGTTACAGACGTTCACGCTCTGCTCGACCACCAGAAACACCGCGAGATTCGCAGTGTACGCAGAGACAAGTAGCAATATGAAGAACGAATACGTCAGGCTCAGCATCTTGCCTGTGTTGGTTCTTGGTGCAAACGGCTGGCTCCCAGTGTAGGACGTCATTCCCATGAACAGACTGTTCAGCAACTTCTTGTGCCCTTTGTCACTCTGATCCCACATATCATTCGAGTAGTCCTTCTCGAACAAATAAAATCCGCCTACCCCGTTCGTCGGGGTGAAAGGGCGCGTGAGATGTTCGGCTCCCTTCCTCCCCATGTTGCCACTCCCCGTGGTTCCAAAATTCTGATGCAAGGGGGGAGGAGAAGGCAGTCCCCCCAGACACCCGACTTCGTGATTTTTTCATGACGTGCCCCTCAGAATCTGGACCCCTCCTGGGGACCGGTCTTTCATCCCTAGCTGTACTTTGCCAGAAAGGCAAACGTTGTCGAATACCGTGTGGTGCTGAAGGTCTTTGATATTACATGGCCTTCTGGACACATTGCCCCACATTAATGTCAAACGCCTCCGACAGCGCCAGCGAGGCGCCCAGAACGCTCCAAACATGGCCTCGCGGCTGGCTTCCAGGACGGCCTCAAGACGACTCCACAACGGAGATGGCCCCTAGACGCCGTCAGACGGCCCCAGACGCTCAAGAACGGAGGGCGCCCAGAGGTGCCCAACATAGGCCGAATCCGGCCACAAAGGCCCCCTGATGGCCTTCAAGACTGCCCCATTTGGGCCCCAAGATGGCCCCAGCCCGTGTCACATACGTCATGGCGAGACCGCTCAGCCGAGGGTTCGGAGGAACGGCGAGAGCATCTAAAATATCAGCGACGTTGTAACAGAAAGCCCAAGAAATACCACCCACAATGGTCCAGACAGAGGCCGGGCAAATGCCATGAAACGATCCATGATCGTTGCTTCGTCGTACTCCCCATAAACAGCTGGCACGAGAGACATATCCAAGAACGACAGCGGAGGTTGCAACCCAAGTGCAGCTCTTTCATCAGTGGCCAGCCAATAATCCAGATTCAGGTCGAATTTCCGTGTGGATGCGTCTAAATATTCAGTCCAAGACAGTTCAGGCGAAAACGAACTCAATGGGACGGAATGGATTGTATATGTAAACTGTCCTATCTCCGCGAGCCGTTTAGCTAGATCCACGTGAAAGCCTGTCATGAGCGATGGGTCGCTATTGTTCACGGGTTCATCGATCCATGCTGGATCATAAAGAGCAGCCACAAAATTGAGGTGAAGTCCCTCCAAGGCCTGTGAGAGCTGTAACGAACCATTCGCCAACGCCGCCTGTCGAGCACAAAACGTTTGCCGTCGGTCGTCTATCACATTCACATTTCTGAAGTCCAAGCTGCTATCGTACAGGGCAGTGCAAAAGACTGGGATGCTAACCACCACGACCCGAAGCAGAGACATCGCCTGAAGCAGCGCCGCACGCTACATGCGTGCGCTGCTGAAGCTTCTCACTTGAGATACGCCTGATGAGGATGAGGAGAAGATGAGGATGATGAGGAGGGTCGGGATGGGAATGAGGACGAGACTGAAGTGCGCGGGCACTGCGCGAACAAAGCTACGCACAGCATCTTGAACACGCGGAATCGACGCAGCATGACCCTCAGCGGCACAAGGATACCCAACTCCACTCGGGTACCGCGCTTCTAGGTCCTCCCCGACTCGCAGGGTGTACCACAGCTGCTGAAATCGAGGACTCTGGCTCAATCCGGTTCGCCCTGAGCCTTGCGGCCACCGTGGGCCAGAGCCACCTGAACGTTTGATTCCCCCGCAGCCCTGCGCGGCCCGAGGCCGACCTGCTGGCCGATGTGAGCCGCGACCCAGTAAACCTGCGCACGGCGCTCTTGCAGAGGAGACGACAGCCGCTTTTCCAGAGCCGCGCGCCCCGCGAGGTGATGAGCTCCTCGGCAGACGAATGCGACCCAGCACCGCGACCAGGAAAACAGCCAGCCGTTGGGCGAAAGGATCTTGCCGCAAAGGGAGCTGTCAGAAGGGCCATCGGGCTCCGCCGCGCGGCACGGGGGAGGACACTTCCCGCACGCTCCGCGCAGAGAACCGCGCGAGAGCGGTGGCACTGCCGCGGGGGCACGCTATCTCGTGGAGATCTAGCCCCGTGAAGGACTGCCACGGCTACAGTCAACCCTTATCATGAGGATGCGCGGTAAGGATGCAAGGGCCTTGAAGGCCAACGCAAACGATTTTCGAACGAGGCTGGCCAGCGAAAGTCGCTCAGGCTGGGCCGAAGAGGCAAGGATGCAAGGGCAAGCACCCTCGAGAAAATTACCCTATGCGGGTGAACTGTACAGGGCAGATCCGGAAGCCCCGAATCCAAAACGGCTGTCTGCGTATCGTTTCACCGATCCCCATCCCCAGCGGCGTGGCCTGCGCCCCGCTGGCCGATTTTCCCCCCTAGATGGGGATACAGGTCGTTCCCTTCGGGTTTCGAGGGGTGTATCCCCTGGGGTGGTCATTTGCTGAGGGTCTCGAAGGGGATGGGGATGGGGATGGGGATGGGGGTGGGAATTGGCTACACGATACCGACCGTCGTCTCCCTTCGGGTCGTTCCCTTCGTCCCCTAGATGGGGATACAGGTCGTTGCCTTCGGGTTTCGAGGGTGGGGATTGGTTACACTATACCTTGGGCGCCCGAGTTATCCGGGGTAACTCGGGTCCGGGGTAAGTCGGGTTTGGATTCCCGAAAAAGGAACCCGAGTTATCCCTGACCCGAGTTACCCCTGATGATTCGGGGCTCTGGACGCCCGAGTTATCCGGGGTAACTCGGGTCCGGGGTAACTCGGGTTTGGATTCCCGAAAAACGAACCCGAGTTAACCCTGACCCGAGTTACCCCTGATGATTCGGGGCTCTGACGGCTGTCGTCTCGTGGAGGGCAAAGTCTTTGCTTCCGGTGCCTTCGGCCCGCCTGCCAGGCCGGCTTCCGCCAGCGGAGCCGCCCTCGTCTTTTACTCCCGCCGGCGCCCGCCGGCCTTCCGCCGCCCTCCGCAAGGTGAAGGGGAGCAGGATGGGGAGGAGGAGGAGGAGGAGGAGGAGGAGGAGGAGGAGGAGGAGGGGGAGGAGGGGGAGTCGAAAGTGAGCTTGGTAACTCAAATAGGGCATATAGCCTGTCATATAGCATCCGATTCCAAGGCGCTGACCGTGGACATCGGATGGCAAATAGCGTCCATCGCTCTGCTGTAGCTGTGAAGGTACAGTATGAGGGGTGGGCGGATAAGATAGGATAAGATCGATGTAATGATCTTTCCAGCACATAGCGAACACTCGCGGTGTCCGGGCAAATAGGGCGCGCGCGCCTTGAGCCCAAGGCAGCGGCGCGCGAGCTATGCTCCCGATACTGTAACATCTCCCAAAGAGCTACCCTTAAAGTCGGGAGGGGAGGAGACGGAGAGCATAGTCGCACGCAAAATTCGCGCGCACGACTGTTTGCAAAGAAATGAAAACAGTGCGTACAAACTGGCCAACCGCCAGAATGTAAGGCGAGTTTCCTCGCAAAGTATTTCACGCAAATACAGGACAGCCCCTTCAAATAATGAAGGGCTATCGGCCTAGTTAGAGGTAGGCAAAAATTAGGCCATACCTCACCAAGCAAATGTGCATTAAGGCAAAGATCCTGAGTTGTATGAAGCCGGCTCGTTGCCAGGCGTGAAATATGAGGCTCGTTTCCGAGCAACTAAAGGGGCGCCTTTATAATAGGCGCCCGTGCTGGCAAACTGGACCGCGAGGGCAACAAGGACAGACTAAAATTGATTAGACTTGGGTTTGTCTCTGTCCTCGGGACTCCGAAAAGGAACACATTGCTTCACGTCATACTTAAATGACTGAGTGCCTGACATCACTTCCAGAAGCAGCTCCCGATCGATGCTTCCCTTTGTATGCCCATCTGCGGTCATATCCCTAGTATCACACCATTGCACGTTATGTACTATACATATATCCATAAGCTCACGTATCCAACTGATATGTCCAAGCAGAGTCCGTTCTGTGGGTATTTTGAGATCCCTGCTTGATAAAGATTTGTAGACGGACTCAGCGTCTATGGTCAGAGAGACTTTGATAGCAAGGCCTCCAACTTCACGCATATCTCGTAGTTGTCGTGGAGTCAAGGCCCCTGCCTTAAGCTCATGGAGAGTAATGAGCGTAGGGTAACACTCATCAAGGTTATGTGCGGCTGCAATTGCCTCCGCAGCATAACTGGACCTCACCTGTAATCGGTGTGATTTGCATAGTCCGTCACAGAGGTGAACGACGGACTTGCCTTGAGGCGAGTTTCCTCGCCGTAGTACGTTGGCCCCGCGAATGCCGTAGCCCTTGGTCTCGTCATCCTCCTCCCCGGTAAGCTTCCGATATCCCGAATCGCTATGGATGTCGACTTCATTCGTCGGCTTCATCCGAGGGAAGGTGATACGTTTCGGGCTGCTGATCAGCTTTCGCGTCACAGCATTCAAACGTCTGACTTGCAAATTGGTGGGCTCTTGAATTTTCTGAAGAGAGACCACATATACCATGAGCCAGATTTGGGTAAGAAGGGCATAGGCGAGGGCTCCTCGCAGGCTGACGAACATGTCGGTAATGAGTTTCGTGGCTTTGGCGTCGGCCGCCGCTCCTGTAAGTTCTGGATGTGTGATGGGACGTAGTTGTTTGATATACTCGTCCTGGTCCATGATCACATCTCCCTGATCATTCTTAGTGTAGCGGACGGCACAGTTCGTATATGTGTGCTTGTTGAGCTTGCATTTGCCAAACACCTTTTCGACACGTTGTACATAGTCGTCGATATTTTTCTCTAGACCTGTCATATTAATGTCATCGACATGTTTTGCAGTCAGAAGATCTTGGCTGAATTCAAATTCAGGATCGTAACTAGTCGGTGTAAGTCCTATAGCTCGTGTGGTCGTACGAAGTTTGAGAGAGAACGCTCTTGGGGCGTCCTTAGTACCCGTTCCTGGTTTGAGGCATCTAAGACAGTGTCGACTTTCGTCGTAGGATGAGAAGCCGGGTAATGTACGAAGTACCTGAGCGCTTCCTGGTGGAAGAGTAAAGCAAACCATGCGAGTTTCCTCGCCGGTGGCATGGGCAAGTTCCTCATAGGTCAAACCTTTTAGGAACGCCTTATCGATATCCATGGATGCTAAGATCCACTCTGGATGACATGCCGCTTCACTTGCCAAGAGTCGTTGAGACTGCCTTCGGGCGGTTCCCGAGAATGTTTCCACATCAAAGGCCTCAGTATCCATAAACCCACGAAGGACCAATCTGAGACGAATGGTTTTAACGTTCTCGGTGCCCATCTTTACGAACTTCCATTTGTATACATATCTGGATGTCATGATGTTGGAAGCTTTGGATAAGTCGTACATCTCAAAGCATCGGTTATCAATCCAGATCTTGAGCTCAGTATATAAGGCTTCACTAACCTCCTTTGGATGTGCTGCTATGTCGGCTTTGGTCAGTAGGTCGTCTTCTTTGACAACCACAGCACGTTTAGCAGCACTGGATACTCTCATCGTTGCGACCATATCGGTATCGAGCTGTGCAAGTTGGGTCTGATCCAACACTATTTTTGACATTTCTGATGTAAAGCATAGTTCAACGTAAGGACCATATTCATCACTGTCTAGGGAATAGCTCTCGTCGTTTGTGTTCGAACAAAGAGATACTAGACAAGACTCACATGAGTTAGGCTCGTCTCCGAGCATATCTGATGATGTAATATCATCTTCGTCCGCAAATGCTGAAACCAAAACGCATTGGTTAGGCAGCATAGTTGTTGGGACGCAATAGAGATAATCATGTGTAATCGTCGTAGGATGAAGGTCCATACGTAGTTCGTCGTACCACTCTTCCAGCATCATGGCTTCGATATTGTGTTCCTCATTTTCCTCATAGATTGTCGACAGACGGCCTTCGCTAGGCGATGAAGCGTCTGGTGTGTCTGGAGAAGGCCTGTTTCAGGCGACTCGTGTTCTCCAGACGTGTTGCTTGGATGCTGATATTTAGCCAGGTCATCGTGAAATCCTAAGGAAGGGACACGAGAAGTCAAGCATTGAATAAGTCTGGAGTGAGTGCTACCAGTAATCTGAGAAATGTTTAGGCCGGCGCCCACACATTCATAGTAGTGGAACGCCGGGCTAATGTCATTGTCATAGTGGATCAGCGTAGACCCGGTGGCGTACTTTACTGCAGGTAGGCTTGGCACACTCTTAGCCAATCGAACTGCTACTACATGTTCCACTCTGAAGTAATTTCGTACGAGATACTGTAGTGCTAGGTGTACGCGCGGGTGAAACTTGCTATCGTCTGACAGGTTAAGGTTTCCCTTGTAGTCGGGAATATACCCGAAAACTTTGGCAGGTTTCCCTGCGCTGAGATGTGCCACATAGGCAAGGACGGTTTGCATGGCCATGTTATCCATGCCAAGTTCCCGTGTGAGGAGACATTCGATGTATAGTGCGTGACGAGCATCAGGATACATCACAATTACCTCACGAGATCCTGCCTTGACAACAATATGTCCTCTTTCAGGCACGTTTCGGATCACCGGGAATGGGCCGTTCCAGCCTCCATGGTCGTCCTTGGTGGCAGTAGGTCGGTGGTAGTCGACAAAATCCCCTGATGAGTAGAGGCGAGCACCATCAGGAGTCGTCTTAGCCCTAAGAGCCCGATTTGTCTTAGCTACAGCAGTAGCCTGAGTTATGGCTTCGAGGCTGACTTCCCTTACACGACGTTCTCGTTCGTGTCCTGAAGTCTCGGGTCTCTTGGGAAAGTCAAGGGTGTCGAGATCAGGAAGGAAGGGGGGTGAAAAAAACCAAAAAAAAAAAAACCCCCAAAAAAACAACCCACCCAAACCAAAAAAAACAAACCAAAAAAAAAAAAAAAAACTCTTCAAAAAAAAAAAAAAACCAAAAAAAAAAAAAACGTCCTGTGTGTGGCTGATATGGCGATACTTCGTTATAAAACGTAAACGCATTAGTAACGAAGATGCCTTCCGCCAATACTCTAGTGAATACAACAGGGATGTTGTGTCTATTCAATTCTTCCTCAATCATGTGGAGGACGCCTCTGAGAATGCCGTTTCGTGACTCAATTGAAGTCGCGTGTTTGCCAGGTGCTCGGAT